TGCATGACAGCCGGTTGCCCATCCAACGCATCAACCGTGAATCGTCGTGAGTACTATACTTTGCTTCATCTGCAAACCAGCCCTGCTCAGAAATCGCGCTTATTTAGCATTCAGACCGAGGCAATAAATTATATTAATATAATGATACTAATACAGTCAAAAGGCACCTTACGCCTATCAATCCATATTCAAAAAAACACAATTCATCAATCAATAAAACTCTCGCCACCCAAACACAAAGAACAGACTCTAAACTCAATAAAAACACAAATATTTTGTTCCCCAATCATCTCGTCGTTCATTTTCAATAAACCAAGTCTGATATTGTTTGCCAAACAATTTACTTATGTTTTAAAAACTCCGCGAATGGACGGTTCTCTTACAAATTGTATTCGCTTTTAACAGCCCACATAATGTTCTTTTAGGCCCTATTTATAAGCAAGTTAATGTATTATAATGCCTTGGGAAGAGGAAGAAATCAACGATAACGTCTATTGTGTGTTTCGCAATTATATTTTCGATGTTATTGTCAATTAGGAGTTGTGTTGGTTGCGTCTTCGTGTTTTTATTGTGTCTATAATGATTTTAAAAATTCGAACTAACGAATAGGTGAATGTAGCAGCGCGATATTCGCAGCGTCGCGGGTCGCGAAATGCTGCTCATGAATATGACCCTCTAGTATGGCTTGAATCTAGTCGAGTTCCTCGTCAACTAATTACGTAAGTAAGCCAAAAACATAATAATATATTCAGTATGTCTCACGAAAGTTATAATACAAATATGTTGCATTTAAATAAATCCATTATAATAATGTGCTGTCAATATACTTTGGAACGAGCGCCTAGCTTCACTGACAGATAGACGGACTGACGATTCAAATTTGAAAGTGCTTCATTAAGGAATAATTTAAATAAATATAAGATGAGGATTTAAGACAGCAATGAAATAATTTGATTCATCTATAACAATAGAGTTTTATTTAAATAAAATAACAATATTTTAATAAAAAAAATAATAAACTAAGCAACCTCGGAATACAAACCTATAACAATAGAGAATCGACAATTAATTGTCACTGCTTTAGCCCGTCGATCCTCACTTAAATTCTTTAAATTAAATAACTAAAATAACAATCCTATATTATCGAAATAAAATTAATTCTTTACAATATTTCAATTTGTAGCTACAACATTTTATTAGACATTTGTCTTATGACACGTATGTCACCTTATCCAAAGACAACGCAAAGCATGGAGGCTTTCATAAATACTTTGACTTTGGCTATGTATTTCTGTCCACACCGACAGTTCGTCCACTGTTCGTTGTGGGCCTTCTCTCTTGAAGAGAGTATGTCATGCCAGGTGGTTAAGAGACCACTGTTTAAGTTCAGGTGTATCAGTGCGGCGTTGGTCTCTGCCAAATGCATAATGGCTGGTGCTGAGTGATGGTTGGAATTTGCTTGAACCGACGTCTTCGAGTCGTCTCTGCGTCCCCGGCTGGGGGCGCGAGGTCGCGCGATCCAGGCCGATGCCTGTCTCGGCGGATTCGCTCGCTGCCTGCTACAGCAGGCGAGGGGTGGGATTAGTCGGGCACCTTGCGGGGCCCGATGTGGTGTCGAGTCCGGTGGTATGCCCCGCCATGAGCCGCGCTCTAGCCGGGCAAGCCCAGCGAGCAGCAAGCTGTTGGCGGGGCATAGGTCGTGTCCAGTGGTGAACCGATGATGTTGTCCGGAGTTTTAATACGCCCGCTTCTCATGCATGAGGGTACGGGTTCGAAACCTATCAACGGCAAGTACCAATGTGACTTTTTCCGAGTTATGTACATACTTTCTAATATTATCTAGACAATTCTGACAAACGGTGAAGGAAGACATCGTGAGGAAACGTGGGCTTATAATTTCTTATTATAAGTTTGTAATCGCTAACCCGCATTGAGCAAGCGTCGTGATTAATGCTCAAACCTTGTCCGTGTAAGAAGAGGCTTAGCTCAGCAGTAGGCATTTATAGGCTGTTGATGATGATATGATGTTTCTTACTCAGTCAGATCAGTATATTGCGACAAGGAAGTCTATCACATTACGTTCAGTAGTCTCTCTCTCTCTCTGTCTTCAGTCGTTCCCTAATGTGTATAGATTGTGGTCAGCATCAGGATTTCATCTGGAGCGAATGATTTGCTTCCAGCGGTATCTGTCCCGCGCGTCTTTTACAGCCGTGCATAATTTTGAGGTCGATTCTTTTATTTGATCGGTCAATCTTGTTGGAGAACGCCTACGCGATCTCTTGCCTTCGGTGTTTCTAATAACAATCAGCTTCTCCAGGGTCTCGCTGCCCCTGTGGACTGTGTAGCCAAAGTAAGAAAGGATACGTTGTTGGCATATGGTGGAGAACCGAATTTTTATCCGAACATGATTAGTGCGCTTTGCTGTTCAAGGTACTCTTAGCATTCGTCTCCAACACCACATATCAAACGCATCTATCCTCAGTCTCTCTCGCGTTCTCATTTCTCTACGTTCATGTAGTACATTTATTGAAAGACCTAAATTTCATCCCATATTGAATTGCAGAGTAATAACAGTATTGTCGACGTATTGCAAATTGTGGTCTATTATTATGTGTTAACAGAGCTCAATTTAGTGTGGAAATAGATACGGTACTGTTAGTAAGTTAGAACATGGTAAAATTAATGGTTATTTTCCGTGCCAAAGTAATTCAAATGTCTTTAAATTGATTGCGATTTTAATGCGATTGCCATAATAATGACCTAACATTTTGAATATATTCCTACATAACATCACAACTCATATCCCCGAAAGGGTAGGCTGAGGTGGCACATTACGGCACTTAATACCATTGTACAATGTTACACACACTTGTCACTATTTATGTTATGAGTCCCATGTATTAGGGGATAAGCCTATTGCCATATACCGGGCACATTTCCAGACTCCGGGCTACTACTGAGAACTTTTTTTAAAACCCGTAATTATATTGCCCGACCTGGGAAACGAACCCGAGACCCTTAGCCCGGCAATCGCACTTGCGACCACTCGGGCAACGAGGCAGTGTGAATTTATTCTATGTAGTATTTTTCATAATACTGGATAAAACTCGGATTTTCATTTACCATGTCAAAACAAACAATCTCTTTAGATATATTCAGGATGTCCCTGAAGACGACAATCAAATGGCACCGGTGATCGACATGGTTCCAAAAGTCATCAGAAAAATATAGAAAAAAAACCAAGTCATATAGTTTTTAAATTATAATGACTTCTGTGGTATCCACGAAAATGTACACTATGAGAAGTCTAAGGGTGTTAATCCAGACCATAGCCTATCCCTGTTCCAATCGGAGTCGCGGAGAACATAACGGGTAACCGGGGCTCCGACTTGACGTGCAGGAGAAGGAACGGGGTGGTTTTTAGTCAGTAAGAATCTGACACTCCCTCCCGCCTCACCCAGCCGGGAGCTGTCATTCGATGATTTTCCCCCCTTACAAAAACAAAAAAAAGGACGTTGACAAAGGTATTGATTTTACTCGTCATCATACATATACAGGTATTTAGTAAATACTGCGCCATACTGTGAAGAGAGATAGCTGGGATAAATACCCACATGAACAACCCGGTATTATGTTCAGCGAAGTTGTATGGTTTATGGAAAGAAAACTAATCAAAGTATAGGAGTGGGAGCTACGACATTTTTGAGTCTAAATATACTTAAAAGTGACGTCATGCGATATTTTAAATCAATGTGTCGTCGAAAGTATCTGTTTCATGTGTAATAAAAATCGTAGCCAATGTTTTAAAATAATCTACCAGACGGACATTAAAATAAAAATTGGTCACCTACCCTATTCTGGGTTCTCAATAAATATACACAAAAGTACCTACTACAGGGTACGAAGGTAAGCAGGGATCACATTTGCTTGTCCTCTCGAAGATCTAATTTACTTGAGCTAACACTTGAACGATTTCCATTTAGTCGGGTGTCCGTGAAATGGTTTCAGAGATTCAGTATTCCTGTTTAACTAAAATACTATTCTCTAGTACATAAAATTAAATTTATCTTCGTCTTGAGTGTGAAACTGGTGATATAGATAAGTCACAATTGCGACCACTTGGCCAACGACTCAACGAGGCAGTCGTCGATTGTATTGTTTTTGAAAATAAAGTTACATATTTGTTCATACTCATTACTCTCGTCAAGTGATTCGTACCAGTTGTGTTAACAGTCATACCTATAACAACTTAAATACCACCACAGTTTTGTGTAAAAAAACTTCTCTTAAAAAACAAAATTTTGTCAAACCAAAGTCCAGCTTCCCCGGGGACAGCCTCTCCGTTCCTTTTACAGACACTATCGAATACTATCGACTAGTGACAGCTCTTGTCGATAGATAGAACACTGCTGTAGATGCTGTTACTCCAATAGACGACAAAGTGATGCTCGTTTGCGACTTAGCGTCCTTTATCTTATATAAACAGTGTCATTGGCATTTCATGTTCAATGCATTCGATTTCAAATAAAGAATGGTAGCGTTTGTGTTTTTATTGAATTTGCATTCACACGAGTCGATTGAAAGTTGATATGATCAATCGGTATTTGCCATGTAAAATGTATCACATGGTACACATTAGAGTGCAAGGCTTAAAGGAGACAACCGTCTCCCTTTTTTTTTTTTTTTAAGGGGGTAAATCATCCAGTGACTGCTCCCGCCTGGGTGAGGCGGGAGGGAGTGTCAGACTCTTACTGACTAAAAACCACCCAGTTCCTACTCCTGCATTTCGAGCTGGAGCCATGGTAATCCGTTAAGTACTCCGCGGCGCCGTATCGGCAAGCATGTACGTACCTACCCTTCATCTTAGTTCCACTCTATAAATTAATATGAACACCAGAGAATTTTTAACTACTCACACATGTAGATAGTTCAATCCGTATTGAAATCACTGATCACAGTTATACACATCTAAATAAAACAAATTAAAATAAAATACTCACCAACCACACTAAGATGTACCCTTCTAACTAAAGGAGGGTGAGTAGAGATCTGGCACTCGTAGAAGCCTTCGTCTCTTTCACTGACATACTGGATGAGGAGGCGCCAGTCGTTTGGATGTTCAAAGGCTAAAGAGTAGCGAGAATCTGCTGAATAGGTGTGGCGGCCGAAGGAAAGGAGGTGCAGTTCATCACCACGACGACGGACCCAGGATATCTGGTAAAGAAAAGAGGGTGGTTAAGTTTATTCTCACGTGAATCGTCTTGATAATAAAAGACTTAGTGGTTGGGTATCATTTCACACTCGTGCTTTTACTAGGGTTTATGAAAATCAAAGGTCCGGGATTTGAACACGAACTGCCTTGTTCTAACTTCTCGCTGACTTGATGCAAAAGGCAGTATTACGTAGCAAGTTTTTTTTAAATCTTTACTTAATAAGAAGGACTTTTTTCCTAAGAGGGAAACGTCAGCCCTATTATAGGATACAAAATTCAGTACACACTAAAGTAAAACAGCTAAACCGTATATACGTTTAACTTAATATATAATAAGTTTAAGTGTTACCCTCAAGCTTAAACATAGAATAATTAAACGATACGAAAATACAATAGGGTAGATGCCTAATTTTTATTTGAATGTCTGTCTGGGAAAATATTTTAAATTATTAGACACGTATTTTTTATTTTCTTACAGAAACGAATACTTTCGACGATATATTGATTTGAAATGTCGCGTGACGTCACTTCTATGCACATTTTATACGTAGAAATGACGTTTTAGCCCCCACTCCTAAACTTTGATTCGTTTTATCTAAGTACTGTTTTATTATCCGACAAAATAAAAAAATAATAACTTACGGACTAATTTGATTTTTAATTTTCATACCCTGTGATCATCTCAATTACTCAAAGACTAGTAAAAAAATATAAGTGATGGAAAATAAACCTTATGACAGAAACTACATAGCACCAATTCAGCTGAACAATGAAAAACTTTAATAACCACACATTAGTTTCTCCAAACATTCATAGCAAGAATATTCAAACAAAACAAAAAAGGAATATGACTTCGTCATAGCGATATAAAAAACCCTTTATATTTCTAACAACTATAAGTATTAATGCATAAGTTAAACAATGATATAACATTCCCAACTTGTTAGGAGGGTGAAAGAGTAAACATGATTTTCTGCCTCGCTCACTTTAATGGCATTCTGTGGTTCTTCGCTATAAAATGTCAACATAAAAAGGATTCTATATCATATTTCTACTACAATTATATGAGACCTGTGTGTTCAAGCTCGGTTTAATCGTTTCCTGGAGTAAGCCAATAGAAGTTCTTTTTCACAGAGTGAGAGAAATTCTAGATTGTTGTTAAGGCTATTTTATGCCTTATTCGCAGTAGCTTAACCTACCATCTAATCTTATATCGTATACTATTATATAAAGCGGAAGAGTTTGTTTTTTTGTTTGTTTGTTTGAACGCGCTAATCTCCGTAACTACAAGTCTGATTTGAATAATTCTTTCTGTGTTGGATAGCTCATTTATCGAGGATGGCTATAGGTTATAAAACATCACACTACGATCAATAGGAGCTAAGCAGACCGTGTGAAACCGCGCGGAAGTAGCTAGTGTGAAATATGAGTCTCTATAATCGATATTGTTTTGTATTAGCTTTTGCCAGAGGCTTTACCCGCGATCCCGTAGGATAACAAGTGTAATATAATGTAGTTGTTGATTCGCCATTTAAAAAAAATATTTACTCTATATTTACATTAATAATGGTAACATTTTCTAACTAACCTGCCTCTTTATAAATAGTGACGCAGACTACGACTTCTTACGATTTCAGTTCTGAATTCTTATATAATAAAACTGGAAACGTATATTCTTCTTTAAAGTCAGGTTCAAGAATCTACACACGTTTCTATTGTTATGAAACACCATATACTACGAATATTTTGTGCTTCGTATTCTCTGAGTAGCTTTGCAGAAAATATCTGAAAGGCGTGAGAAGACAAGTGATTCTGATTATACGTTCTGATACTGTATTTCTTTAGAAACGATTTTGAGCCTTACTGCTAATAGGTTAATAAGCACTGGATCCTCTACCTTACCATGGTCAATTTTACACTCTAAACACACTCGTTTTTGATAGCGCTTTGACTGATGAACCATGGATATATTTCTTATTTTATATTACGTTATTGATCTTAAACTGTCAAACACCAAGCGGACACCGGTGACCGCAACTAATTGTTCTTTAATTGTGTCTATAATGACGGTACTCAACGAGTTAAATAAGTACAGATATGTTTGCAAAATATTGGTATACTATTCTAACCAAAGGTCTTTTCAATAATAGACGAATAACATACATTTTACGAGTTGGTCTACTTACGGTCTTCTCCCCCAAATCATGGACGCGACAGTGTAAGTGCACGCGACTGCCAAGCTGTGCTGTCACGTTATTAGTAGAAACATCGTCTTCGAAGAAAGGTAAGGGTTCAGAAGTAGTAGTAGACGGATCTTCTTCGTGGTCTTCATAAGTTTCCGTGAAGACCTCGTGCCAAAAAGGACCGTTGATGATTTTCTTGTCACCGGTTTTGAAATCTGTTGAAGAGAAACCCTATATTAGCACCTACGTATTATTTTATCTGCTTGGTTTTTAAACCAACAGCCCTTACACGGAATTGCCTTTTATAACACATAAAAAAAACGACGACTAACGATACCCTCATTGGACAAGTGGTCGTAAGTGCGACTGCCATGCAAGTGGTCTCGGGTATGAATCCCGGGTCGGGCAAAATACTACTGGGTTTTTCAGTAGTAGGACGGAGTCTCGAATTGTGCCCGGTATATGGCAATAGGCTCACCTCCTGTTACATGGGACTCATAGCATAAACATTGAAAAGTGGGTGTTACATTGTACAGTGGCATTATTTGCCTTAATGTGCACCTCAGCCTACACCTTCGGATAAAAAGGTGTGATGTTATGTTATGTGTAAAAAATGACGACTAACGACTCCCTCATTGGACAAGTGGTCGTAAGTGCGACTGCCGAGCAAGCGGTCTCGGGTACGAATCCCGGGTCGGGCAAAGTACTACTGGGTTTTTCAGTAGTAGGACGGAGTCTCGATTTATGCCCGGTATTTGGTAATAGGCTCACCTCCTATTACATGGGATTCATAACATAAATAGTGAAAAGTGGGTGTTACATTGTACAGTGTACAACATTACGGCACTTAATGCCGTAATGATAAGTCATGTTATAAAAAACGACGCAATTTAAAATGAACTATAAGATATAAGCTTCATTGCTATTGTTAGTATTCGTTAATGAATATAAGTCCACAAAAATTTTAACTAATTCCACTGTCCACCAGACTATTTATACGTTTATAAAAAGAAGGCACAGAATGGCGTGTAAACCTACAAACAACGAAAGCCGATTAAAAACTAATTGTCTTCCACCTAAATCAAGAATTCCAGAAACCGCTTTTCCACAATCCCACTCCAATTTCAAGACTAACAAACAGCAAAATAATCCAAACAAAGCTACCAAATTGGGCAGAGTTTAACGTAAAAAACAAAATTTCTTTCAAAAAATCAGAAAATAGGGAAACAGTACGTGGAAAAGTTGAAAGGAATCCGTCTAATTAGTAATTAGAGTGACTTTTTGTGCCAAAGAAAGTCTGTGGGATGTTGAGGGCAGAAATTTAGAGCTCACATTATATACTTTCGTAAGTACTGGAGCAGAAAGACCGCTGCCAAGACAGTACTTAATACTTGGAGGAGTTTTTGCAAGAAAAGGTGGAATTTATTCGTCGACGTTTAATTCAGTAGTTTTTACGCGAAGATTTGCGATTGCGACGAAAATAGATACCTTTTTGCTTTCAAGTTTATAGATTGGTTGTTGAATTTTACTACTTCGTTCATTTTGTTGACTGCCTCATAGACCGAGTGATCGCAAGTGCCTGCCGGGCAAGAGGTCTCGGTTCGATTCCCGGATCGGTCAAAGTATTACTAGGTTTTTTAAAAAGATCTCATTAGTAGCATGGAGTCTGGTATTGTACTCGGTGTAATTATGGCAATAGGCTCACCCTCTATTATATGGGACTTGTAACATAAATAGTGAAAAGTGGGTGTGACATTGTGCAGTGGCATTAATTGTCGTAATGTTCACCTCTGCGTACCCCTTCGGGGATAAAAGGCGTGATGTTATGTGATGTTTCATTTTGTTCCTTACTGTGCTTTGTATGAGGGTTCATAAGGAAGTAACTATTTTCAATTTTGGCGTTCCAAAAATAAGATTTGTTATACAATAGCCTTCTATCTGACTCTAACCATCTTAAAAACAACAATTGTCTTAATATTCCATTAATAGCTATCACTACCTATATTTAAAGTAAGTGTGGGAGAGTCAAGCTTCGGCACGAATAGGCCGGCTCGACCGGAGTGATATCACGACCTCATAGAAAACCGACGTGAAGCAACGCTTGCGTTGTGTTTCGTCGTGTGAGTGAGGTTACCGGAGGCCCAATTACCCTCCCCTTCCCCAATCTCCCCAATTCCTAAATCCCCAACGATCCTCAAACTCCTAATCCCAAAAAGGCCGGTAACGCACTTGTAACGCTTCTGGTGTTCCAGGTGTCCATGGGCAGCGCCGATTGCTAACCATCAGGTGATCCGTCTGCTCGTTTACCGGCTTATGCCATAAAAAAGCAGATATAACAGCGAAATAAATACTACAAAAATATGTATCTACAACATATGAACACATTTACTCAACTTCAAAATGAAATTCTAGACAGATATACTTAGAGTTTAAATTGGAAAATTCGATACCGATCCCGCCCAGACCGCTAGAGAACCACAATCTCATTCTCAATTAATTAAACGAAACGTCTAACAATTTATTACGACCTTACCAAATACCAGTAATGTACTGAAAAGGGTAAGAATATAATATAATTTTCGTTCAACGATTAAATTTCTTTTGTTACAAACAAATTGGACAAATATTTTTGGAATATAATTGCTTAGAAACCCATTATTGTATTGAAAAATTGGTATTCGATATGGTTTAATTTATATTGTGGGCAAAAATTTTGTTTATTTTTTATTTTTAACCTTTATGAAATTACCATAACATAACATCACGCCTTTTCATCCGTCACGCCATCCCCGAAGTGATAGGCAGAGGTTTACATTATGCCACTGTACACTAACACCCACTTTTCACTATTTATGTTATGAGTCCCACGTAATGAAGGATGAGCCTATTGCCATATACCGGGCACAATTCCAGACTCCGTGCCACTACTGAGAATTTAAAAAAAAACCAGTAATACTTTGCCCGACCAGGGAATCGAACCCAAGAACCCTTGCCGTGCAGTCGCACTTGCGACCACTCGGCCAACGAGGCGGAATGAAATTGTTACCTATAAACCAGTTGCCATTATACCAAAATCATAATAATATTATACATTAAAAAAACTATACAATACTTTGACCTAATCGATAATGAGACCCAAAACTTTTCACTCAACAGTTGTACCTACTAGCGATCATTCGATCATTAAACTGTAAGAAAAGAGATATAGAAGTACTTTTACGCATATATTTTATACATATCACAGACAAAAGTATTACTCCTAGAACATTCTTGTATTACACTTCCAAATACCTACCTCAGGATTGAAGCAAAAAAATCCAGAAAATCTCAGTGGCTTAGTAATAAATAATAAAATAAGGCATGTAATAAATCTGGGCAAACTGTCTGTGGCCCAAAGAATTTATGAGATAGGTAATAATTTCAACGCACAGGAGCAAACAGAAAGGCTAATTAAAGAACAATAGTAAAAGATATTTTCGTGGTTCAGAATTCGGGATTTTTTTCGCTTCGTTGGTTGAGAGGGTCGCGTTTGGCTTGAGCTGTGGTTTTAATCTCCAACTCGTGATATGCTGCTCTATTTAATAAGAGAATATGGTGTTGTCTACTATGTTTTTTTTTTTATGTTTTGATTTTGATGTCCTAAAATTGCTATCAGTTAATACCGAGACGAGTAGCAGCATCCTACGGGCGATGTAAACGTGATTGCCAAGACGTCTACCAATCATGGTGATCATGGCATACCTTTTAAGAAGAGACTTTTGTTCAGAAGAAGAAGAAGAAACATATTCTATTGATTATGATGACATTGATGATGAGTGAAGATTTATTGTCAAATGTTCGTTAAAAAGCCATGATTTCTTTCAGTGAAACCAGTATTAAATAATTATTTATTTTATAAATAAACTACTAATCACACACAAACGTACATGCATACAAACATACAAAAAGAAAACCTTCTTTTTGGAAGTCAAAAACTGGCGTACATTGTAGATACTTCTTTGCACTTTCGAAATTACCTTGTCGAAGGTGTAAACATATTTTTATCTCATAAAGAAAAGTAATGGGATATTAACACGTTTCGTATTTTTGCTCATGAAGGCAGATATTGGAGTTTTTATCTGATTTTAAATATAGAAGAGGTTTCGTGTTCGGTTGCGTACATCTTGTTATTTTCGATTTTTGGTATTTGTAATTCGTAAAATACTATAGGCTGGTGAAAATTATATTGGAAGCTGTATTTCGACGAACCATTTTACTCTTAGCCTTGTTCATTGTTGGATGGAAAAATACACGTTTACATAAATAATTGGAATCATGAAATCCTTTTATTGTTCTATAGAGACTGGGAATAACTATAGTGCAACATGTAGAGTGTAGTAAGCCTTTTTGAGTATTCCAAACTATTTACACTTTCATTAGGGTTCATAACAAAGGAAAAATGTTTATAACATCAATGGTTGTCATTGCCTAAATTTCTTCTTAAATATTTGACCCTTATTCTTCACGCCTAAGACGCTCGCTTCTCACACATGGGTTTGAAACCTACCAACGGCAAGTAACCAATATGACTTTTTCTGGGTAATATGTAATTTATAAGATTATCTAGACACCACTGACAAACGGTGATGGTAAATATCGTGAGGAAACGTGGGCTAATAATTTCTAGTTATAAGTTTGAAATCGACAACCCGCTCTGAATAAATGTGGTGATTAATACTCAAACCTTATTCGTGTGAGAAGAGGCTTTTGGTCAGCTGTAGCCACTTACAGGCTGTTAATGATATTCTCCACGATTGAACTAGGCATTAGTCATGCCATAAGCTGCAAATGCAATTTTTGCATTAACAATCATTCACGTGGGTAAAAATTGACAGAAATCATGCTACACTATAACGGAACGACCATGCTAACAATAAGTAAAATATAAGACAAACTACCAAAACTGCGAGGTACCTTACACGCATGCATATTACACGAACAAATTGTTGGTCCATAAAAAATAAGTAACAAAGGCACATCATGTCACCGCATCATATTTTTGGAAGCACAATCATTTGTTCGCGGAAGTTTTAGAAAGGAAACGACCAAAAATCATGTCAGACACGGAGTCATGGAGCAACCGATCGCTATTATAATTTATATTGTAATTGACGACTGAATATCGTGATAAGAAGATGTAAATAATTTTTGTAGGTTTAAGGTCAGGCATACCTAACGAGCACAGCTCCGGCATGGTGTGTTTAGCTTTGAAAATAGTACAAAAAGATTGTAAGCGCGGCGTAGGTGCGTGGACGGCGCGCGGGCGGCGCGCTGACGCCACGCGGACGGAACGTGGACGGCACGCGGGCGGCACGTTTTCAGCTTTTTATAATGACATTATGAAATATGTCATACGACATACGATTCAAAGTTCATATTTAATTGACAAGTTAATTGCTGGGTTGGAGCCGTTCCGGAGCCGTGCTTATTAGGTGTACAGTTTGACCTTCACATAACACACTCCACCTATAGTATAAAAACGTACACAGGAAAGCTATTGCCGTAACCATTTTTCGCCAATAGTTTATACTATTTTAACGTTAAGTTATTATAGAGATTTTTGAAATATAAAATCCAATAAATGATATTCTGCAGTCACATAACATAACATAACATTACGCCTTTTTATCCCCGAAGGGGTAGGCAGAGGTGCACATTACGGTACGGCACTTAATGCCACTGTACAATGTAACACCCATTTTTCACTATTTATGTTATGAGTTGCATGTAATAGGGGGTGAGCCTATTGCCAATACCGGGCACATTTCCAGACTCCGTGCTACTACTACTACTGAGATTTTTTTAAAAACCCAGTAATACTGCGGTCACTGGAACCAAAACTAAAAACTGAATATTTATCAAGGCCACTGTGTCTATTTGTTTTGAGTTTTAGATATTTGAATTCATGGGTTATTGAAGTTCATCTATAAGCATGATTGTCTCAATAATGGTATATTATCGAAAACTTTTGTACAAATTGTAAATTGTGATACGCCATAACTTTTTCTTTACTCGACTGTCCTATAGAATTCTATTTTTAAGAAGCAAATTTGGCGTGATATCGCCGCAAGATGTCATTTTCTCCACTAGACTATATTACAATCAATCAAACATAACCTTTCTTCATTCCGTTTACAGTATTTTCTTTGGTGGTGCTCTCCCTTATAATTAATTTATAAGTATCTAAATCCAGCACTCTTTCAATTAGGTATACATTATAACACCAAAGGGTTTCAAGCCTCTAGAATTATCGGTCATAAGTGAGGAGGTACTTTCTTGTGAGTTCATTTATAAATTAATAAATTAACGTAGTACCTGGAATCTGTGGAGCAATAACGCATAGCGTCCGGGTAAGCACTGAGCAGAAGACCAAAAGACCAGCCGACGTCATCTTGTCAGCCCCTGGAGTTAGGAGCCATAGAGTTCATCTGGACAGTCGTCTCTGCTTCTGGAAAGAAGAGAAATTCAATTACTTTATGTTGTAAGAAGGAGCAAAATATATCTTATATTAGTTTTTTATGGCATAAGCCGGTAAACGAGCATACGGATCACCTCAATCCAGCAATCGGCGTCCCCCATAAACACCTGGAACATAAGAGGCCTTACAAGTGCGTTACCGGTCTTTTGGGGACTAGGAGTTTGAGGATCGTTGGGAATTCAGGAATTGGGGAGATTAGAGAAGGAGAGGGTAATTGGGCCTCCGGTAACCTCACTCATACGACGAAACACAACGAAAGCGTTGCTTCTGTGAGGCCGTGGTATCACTCCGGTCGATCCGGCCCATTCGTGCCGATGCATGACTGTTCTGTCTGTTTCGTTTTCCAAAAATCAACCACGTGAAGGTATTAATACTTAAACTTATTGGCCAACTAGCTGTGCCCGCGACTTCGTTCACGTGGAATAGGGATTTACTGCGCTTACCCCGTAGATGATAGCGTGATAATATGTAGCCTATATGTTGACTCGACCTGTTAGTAATAATCATGCAAAATTTTGAAATAAATCCATTGTAGTACTTTTTGAAATCATCCCGGACATACAAACAGACGAAAATTCTATAAACCGTATTTTTGACTTCAGTATCAACAGTAGATCACGCTCCAAGTATTCTTTTAAAAAAATATTCAGTGTACAGTTTTGACTTTTCTACGATTTTATTATATGTAGATAGATAGATTGAACAATAGAGTTTTCAGATATTAAAAACAATTATTTTAAGATTTTCTTTGCTCTGAAAAATCTATATAATTTTATAAGTGCTCAGATTTATAGGTATTAAAAACAATACATTCACAGAATAACTATTGTTTTTAAAATGTCAACTCAAAAAAGAAAAAAGACACAATTCGGAAAAAAAAACTCAGAATCAAAGTCAAAGCATTTACAAAATAATATAATAGCCTGTCCGGCAGTGAAGGTAGGTGCTCGTTCCAAAATCTAAATTCGAATTTAGAATAACGAGCAAGAAACTTTATTCTCATTTAACGAATCCAGGTTCAAAGATCGAATGTGTTTCCCAATCTAAAACGCTCAAACAATTGCATACATCTGAAGCTACAAGCATTAAACGCTTACGAAAGATCAGACAAACATACGGACGACTGACTTGCGATTGTAGAAGCATGTTCCACCGAACTTAGGGGGATTAAATTAGTTGAACAGCTTTATTAGACGAGTGGTTACGTCGCGATGTGAAGCAAAGTTCAGTGTAGAGGTTTCATTATGAATATGTAGCGGTGCGCCGTGTTCTTTATTATTAAGGATATATTTAATGATCTTTTGGATCTTTTATTATTGGGTGGTTAGCTAAATTGTAATTTAGTTTTAAGAGATAAAATTTCAATGAATTTTGTTTCAAGTTTCAAATCGTCAATCAAATTCTTCAATTGAATTGTGTTTTTGCAAATAATCAATCTTCGTATTTGCCTTTGAATGGAGGCTAACATTTTTTTTTGCTCACCAAATGTTGTGTATGCCAAAGCCATGCTTCGGCACGAATGGGCCGGCTCGACCGGAATGATACCACGGCTTTACAGAAAACCGACGTTAAGCAACGCTTGCGTGGTGTTTCGTCGTGAGGCCCAATTACCCTCCCTTTCCCCAATCTCCCCAATCCTTGAATCCCCAACGATCCTCAAACTCACAGTCCCCAAAAGGCCGATAACGCACTTGTAACGCCTCTGGTGTTCCAGGTGTCCATGGGCGACGCCGATTGCTTACCATCAGGTGATCCGTCTGCTCGTTTACCGGCTTCTGCGAAAAAAAATATAGAACCGAAACCTCAAGCATACAAACAAAACAATTGAATAACACAATTCCACTACAAGAAGATGTTCAATTAGATGGATAGCACAGAACACGATGTATTGTTAGCCACTTATCTTCTACAATCGTAGTTAGAGTCACAAGGAAATAAATGACCCTATATAATTGTATTCCGAATGTTAGCTATGGCTTAGGAACGTCTAGGAACGTAGGTACTATTGTTGTGTATGGGACTGCTAGTTTCAAATTGTATTTAGTGTTAGAAATTGTATGAATATTTTGAGTGTAGTTTAAATGAGAGGGTTGCATCATTATCAAACCTTCAAGAAAAGAGCGTATTCCTTTTTAAAAGGCCGGCAACGCACCTGTGACTCCTCTGGTGTTGCGGTTGTCAATGGGCGGCGCTGATTGCTTACCATCAGGTGATCCGACTGCTCGTTTGCCTCCTATTCCGTAAAAAAAAATCACGTCGTTTGATAGGCGAGTTGTGGATTGTAGTCTAAGTTTCGCATTTATCAAAGAGCGCTGCTGTCCAAGAAGAAGAATAGAAATGTACATAAAATGTATTCTACTCTGCTATCATCAAAGAAATATGAGTGTTAAGATAAATATTTACAACTTAGCGTAGGTCCTTTATTTGAAGGATAGAATCTATAGTATAGATTCTTATAAGAAAAGAAAAGGAGGCAAACGAGCAGACGAATCACCTAGTGTAAGCAATCACCGCCGCCCATGGACACCCGCAACACCAGAGAAGTGGTGCGTTGCCGGCCTTTTAAAACGGAATATGCTCTATTCTTGAAAGTTTGAAGGTCGGATCGGTTCGGAAATACTGCCAACGATAGATTATTCCACAGCTTTGCTGTGCGAGGCAGAAAGCTAAGAGAGAAGCCTACTGTTTAGCTTGCCAACCATCTATAATGATGTGGATGGATATACTGTCGTGAGGGTCAATGGCGAATAAATGTGCTAACCAAATCAAACAAAGCAGTATAGAACACACACACATCAACAGCCTATAAGTGGCCACTGCTGACCAAAGGCCTCTTCTCACACGAAGACGGTTTGAGCATCAATCAACACATCATTGCTTAAAGGTGGTTTTAGATGTTAAACTTATAATTAGAAATTATAAGTCCAGGTCCAGTCCTCACGAGTTTTCCTTCAACCGTTGTGAGTGGTGTCTTAATAACATTAGAAAGTACATACAATGTATACGTAACCTCGAAAAAGTCTCACTGCACTAGTACATCAGTTTTTATTATTTCCAGGAGTATTTATTATCAACTATTGTTTAAAAGTTACGTAAGTTACGTTAAGTTGAAATTACAATCAAAAACAAAATCAAATCAAATTCAATTCCACCACCGTAACAGACAGCTACTAAAAATCCGTATCTTGTACAACACAAAAGAGAATTAGCACACCGCTTGTTACTGGCATCTTCAAAGAAAAAATGTAACAACAAAATATTTTTCAAAAGACGAAGACGATGAAACAAAAATCTTTACAATCAGCCTGTATTTGACCCTTTTCATCTTTTTTCACAAAAGCAATGCGAATTATTGGCACAAACTCGAGATGACGGATCGTAATTTTGTGACATAGATAAACAGAATTCGAACAAGGAAAAATATAGTGACAAGCTGTATCTATACTTTTGGCTGAGAAGTACTCGAATTCTCTACAACGGATGAATGAATTGAAAGAAGGAATATTCTGAATGAATTTGAAAGAAAAATTATTGTAACTTTAAGATCTCGTCTGATATAAAAGCATTAAAATAGCCTAAGAAAACGAATTTTTTGTTCGGAAAATTGTTAATTTATTTATCATCAATCATTTTTGTTATTAAAACGAATTTTGTTTCCGATACGACCTTCATAAGACAACAGATACCCACGGGCGGTTTTGATAACTTACATCAGGTCCTAATCCATCTGCTCGTGTGCATCCGATTTATAAAAACGTCAAATTCATATAAATTATAATATTAAAGACAAATTTATTAAAACTTCATGGGCTATGAAATAAGAATACTTTTTACCCGACTGCCAAAGAAGGAGGGTAATGTTTTTCGAGTGTATGTAAGTATGTATGTATGTCTTTTCCTTTGTGACCACCTGTAGCCTAAACGGCTTGATGGATTTTGATGTATGAGGTATCGTTAGATTTGTCTTGATTACGGGAGTGTCATAGGATACATTTTATCCTAAAAGTCCCACGGGATAAAGACATAATAATATTTTTTCTAAATTTCCCTTTAAAAAAATATGTATGCGGTATCATTAGATTCATTTCAATCACGGGAGTAATTAATATAGGATACGTTTTTTCTCAAAATTCCCACGGGAACATGTTAATTCTGCGTCAACGCAAAGCAACTCATGCGTTAGCAAGCAAAAAGATAGGGCGTGGCCTGGCATGCGGCGCGCGGCGCGGTGCGGAGGGGGATATGCTCGAGTATACAGCCCGATTGCGGGCACACGCATGAGGGCACACGTCGTTGACGGTCGTCTCTAAATAGCGATTTTATTCGATATATCCCTATTTGTATATATCGAAATAAAAACAGCTAAAAAGTTATAAATAAAAAAATTATTATTAAAAAAACAAAATACCCGACTGCACACTAAAAAAAGAGTAAAACAAGCCCCACAATAATATTGATCAATCAAATGCTAAAAACTAATTATGTAATACCGTTTAAACAATACCTATATTAAAATACACTACAATATGTGTTCGTAATCGATAGTTAAATAAACAGAAACTTATTTTGAATACAAATTTACTGAATATAATTTATAAATGTTGATGGAAAGCATCGCAGGCGGGGACCACCTTGACCGCCACCAACGAAAATTCTGCTAAATGGTGCACAACCGAAATGACTATAAATAAGCCTCTGTTGGTCCCCGCCTGCGATGCATTCCATCAACATTTATAAATTATATTCAGTAAATTTGTATTCAAAATAAGTTTCTGTTTATTTAACTATCGATTACGAACACATATTGTAGTGTATTTTAATATAGGTATTGTTTAAACGGTATTACATAATTAGTTTTTAGCATTTGATTGATCAATATTATTGTGGGGCTTGTTTTACTCTTTTTTTAGTGT